TGCATTGAACCACTGTTGTCAAGCAAGATGATCTGTTGTTTTCTCTGTACAAGATGGTGTTGGAACGTAACTCGTATTGTTCAGTAAGCTATGTGACCGGCCATAGAAGAGATAGATCATGCTCCCAATAAGCAGCCATATCAAGACCCTGATCCATGTCCCAGCTCTGCTATTACAAAGACCGACAATGGTTTAGAAACATACATGCGAAACTTTTGCTGATCAAAATACATGAGTCTATCGGACTCGCTCACCCAATGTTGATGATCAAGTAGGTGTTGATCAAAATGCAGAGAACAGGAAGATATGGAACAAATGGGCAGAGAAACCCTGAAATAGAATCAAAATCTAGAATGTCAGTATAAGCAAGCACTGTTCAATTACAAAAGGCATAGACAAATAAGCCTCAGGACTTGCCTCCTTTGTGTCCAAAGTTGTGCCTTTCGTCATCCTCATCGATGCATCCAAGAGTAATCAAACTGCCAAGCAAGATGGCAGCACTGACACCACATATAGTGAACCGAGGAAAACTGTCAAGGCCAAGAAGATTACCCATTAGAGGATATAAACATTAGAAAGATAGAAACATACAAGTCTTTTAAGACAAATGTTTCACAAACAGGCATAGCGAGCTTCTTGAGCATGCTTAACTTCTGTGACATGCAAGTAGCAGTAACGTCGTCCAAAAGCTATCCAACCACAGTGAATAGATGTGTCGATACATATATGCAGGGAGAGTAGAAGATATCAGATGATGAACCTACCTTGGAAGACGCTCAGCAGAAGCTGCTGATGCAAGGCCTAGGACACCTATGCACACAAGAGCTATACTCCAGGCAGCAATCTTTCTTCTCTTTCCAAAATACCTTTCATCTTTTCAATCAAAAAGAAGCAAATAATTTTTAAAGTCAGTAACAATTGTACCATTCCAAGTATCATCTATCAGTACAGTCATCTTAGTATCATATAAGTGATTAAGCACATTTTAGTACCTCGAGCTGTTTCATCGCCAAGTAGAGGGGAATCAGAAGATTCTACAGCATTGACAAGATTTTCAGTTTCAGCTCTACGTTCATCGGTATCAGTCCAAGCTTGAGAGGAAGATGGTAGTGGAACTCCTTCTGGTGGTACATATCTGAGAACTAACACACAGGCTGCTACAGCAGTGAATGCCATTAGAGTGCCTACACTAACCTGTTAGATGAATTGCAGATGTGAGATAAACAGAGAAGGGATCTTTTACGTAACAGAAGTGATTTCCCAGCAGTCTCTCAACTCAATTACATAACACTAATGTCTACAATAATATCAATTTTTATATTATTAATTGAGAAGTACATTCTAATGTTTGGATACAAGAATTAGAGAAACATCTATTTGGATAGAAGAATAAATGGAAACAAAAGTTGTTTGGATATAAGAATAAGAGAAAAATCTATTTGGATAGAAGAATAAATGGAAAAAATTGTTTGGATACAAGAATAATAACTTAAAATAAACCGATGGTTTAGAAAACTTCCGTTTTCCATCTCTTAAAAATCTGCAAAAAAGAAAACTTAACATAATCTAACGATAATTCCAAATCAATAGAATATGCTTTTTGGATTTTCGGGTTTTTATAGACAAGTTCGGGTTTGGGTGAAAATCTGAGACATAATTTTATAGAGATATATATAGAGATATAGAAATTGTTCGGGTTTCTTTGAAAATTTCTGTTCGGGTTAGGTTCAATTTTTTTTTTCAGTTTAGGGTTTTCCGGATTTTTTAGATTTCTGGTTTTCGGGTTTAGATATATTAAAAAAATTGAGTATTTTAAAATTTTGATTAGGTATTGGGGTCGGGTTCCGGGTGAAAAAGTTTCCAGATTTTTTTTGTTCAGTCAGGGTTTTCGGGATTTTTTTGATTTCGGATTTTCATGTTTAGACCTATTAAAAAAGTTTGGGTTTTTAAATTTTTTGATTAGGGTTTTTTGTCGGGTTCGGATTTAGGGTTTAAATTTTCTACACAAAACAACAACGTCACACCGCACAAACGTGCGGGTACTCTACTAGTACTATACTATTCAGGATGAACCTCTATTTTCTGTTTGCCACTAAATGTAGATGAAAGCAAAGATCAGCTTACCATTTCAGACAACTGTGAAACATCCATGAAAAATGCAAGTGCAGCGGCCAGTACACCAATTGCTATGGTGCTTTTCACCGGTACTTGAGTTCGTGGGCTAATTTCTGAAAAGAAAGCTGGCAACAATCCGTCTCTAGCCATCGCCATGAAGATTCGTGGCTGATAAAAGAAATCACAAAGCGCTGTCAAAATGAGGTGTGTGCACTTCCATTACAAAGACAGAACCTAGCATTGACCTACTTTGACAGCTAATAATTGCTCAACTACAAGATCTTATGAACTTGGATTTTCAGAACAATAAGAAATGGTTAGTACCTGAGCCAGAAGTGAACCCAACAAACTCGCGAATAGAGCAGTTATGGCTCCAGTGGTTAATATGTACCTGAGATATTTAGGAATAGTAAGAAGAAGACAAAGCAAAAAAAGAAGAAGTTGACAGAAATTTGAGTCTCCAGAGATGTAACGTGCTTACGCTGCCCATTGCATCCCACTGTCTCCAAATGCAGAGGAGATGGGAGTATCTGGATTCAGTGAATAGTATGGGACTAATCCAACAATAACCACTGATAAAAGCATATACAAAATGCAGCATATCAGTAACGCAATCCCAATGCCCAATGGAAGATCCCTTTGAGGATTTTTAACCTGTTGTGTCAATACCAAAAGTCTAAGAGTTTAACGGAGAAAACTGGCAGAATTATGAAACAATGATTTCATCATGCTAAGACCAAACATCCTCTCCTATTACTAGTTCTATCATCAAACAAGGATCATAATTTGAAAAGGCAATAAACTGTGTACCTCCTCAGCCGTACTAGTTACAGTATCAAATCCAATGTATGAGAAGAAGACTACAGCAGATCCAGCAAGTATCCCATTTAGTCCAAAAGGAAAATACCTGTAAATACAGAAGTTAAAACATTGACCTTAAGAGATAAAACTTTGACACAAAACCAAGCTCAATGGAAGAAGAATGTGCTAATTACCCACTCGGAAGATCATATCCAACCCACCCAGTCTTGAAAGCTAAATATCCACCAACTACTATGATGAAAACCAATGTGCAAACATTCACTGATGTTACAATTGCTTGCACTAATGAACTCTGCCAAGACAAAAACAAACCAACACAAAACACTGTCAAACGATCTAACAAACCTGAAATGAATTTCATTTCAAAAGTTTTCAAATGAAGTACCTCCTTAATCCCAAAGCATAGTAGTATGGTGACAATGATAATCAACAATGCTGCACATGGATCAACCACAATACCAAGTCCGGGTATGGTTTGTCTAGCTAAGAACACTGGAAGTTTATCCAAACCTCCAAAAAATGATGCCTAAATCAAAACAAAAATCAGATATCAAATCGAAAAGAAACCAGCTTTCTACATACAAACTCAAAAGGGAACAAGTACCAGATTTGGAGTTATGCCACGAGCAATGGCCGATCCACCAATTGTATAATCCAACACCAGTGCCCAACCAACCAACCAAGCAATCCTATGAAGTTAAGATCATCAAAGGTATGAGCTTTAAGACGAACAACGAGTACGTTTCTTAACATTAGAGTATACCCTTCTCCAAGACATATGTAGGCGTAATGATAAGCACTCCCAGCAGAAGGGCATCGAGAAGCAAGCTCAGCGTAACAACACGCGGAGAGAGCAGCTGCTACTCCAGCGATGAAGAAGGATACAGCAAGAGCAGGTCCTGTGTGTTCTCTAGCTACTGTTCCCACTAGAATATACACTCCAGCTCCGATCGTTGTTCCAACTCCTGAGAAATCAACAGAGAAAATCAACATAAAAAAACTGAAATTGGTGAAGAAAATGAGGGAAAGTTTGGATCTTTCTTGAGTACCAATAGCGACAAGATCAACGGCGGTCAATTTCTTGGCGAGGTGTTGATGATCATGTCCATCGTTTTCATTGAGATGAACAGAATCAACTTGTTTCCTTCTCACAATACTGTTCAAACCCCATGAACACTTCCTCGAACCACCACCGTTCTCGTTCATATCAACCAATCCCTAAATGACAGAAGGAAAGAAAAGGAATTTGATTTCACAATATCGATTCAGAGCGAACCCATTTGATTCGTCTCTCAGAACATCCAACAAAAGCCAGAAAATAATATTTCCAGATAAGGTATCGGAGCCGGAGATACTTGCGTGCACGATTTTAACTTTTGAGAAATTCTTGAAAAAAAGGTTAGATGACGTTTGTTTGATTCGACTTTCGATACACAACTAATTCTGCTAATTTGCGCTATGACATAGATTTGTCTAATAAATATAATTATGATATAGTCCCGAACAAATGTATCACAATTTAAGACATTAAGTGCTAAGAAATCTATACCTCCGATTAACACAGTAACAAGTTTTCTTTCTTAAAAAGAAAATGAATCTCAACTATTTAAAAACTTATAATTCAATTTTGGTAGAAGTAGAGAATTATAATTCAAAAAACTATATTTCAATTTTTACACTAACCAGTGAAGTAGAGAACAGTATAACTCAGTCATCTAATAAAACGATGTGGTCATTTGCAGATAAAAAGTTTAGAGTTAAGAAAAGAAAAAAAATAATAATTTACTGAATAACAGAAATGAAATATATAATCATAAAAGGAAAATGCATTTAAGCATAAAAAAAAAGGTAGACCTCTTTCTCGAGCTCAATCTTCATTTAAATGTCGTTCATGTTTTTTGCTTACAAGTTATAACAAGCACTCTACTGTGAGAAAACAATCAAACATTATCGATTATGATCACAATGAATTAGATATTTCTGTTCTCTTAGTTTGAGATTTGATCATAACAAGTCCCAAGTGGTTTCTCTGACAGTTGGTGGTAGCGACATCGATTTCGACGATGGATCTCAGCATTGAACACAAGGCACTCCTCCAGGAGATGATGCTATTTCGAATCGAGCGATCGGCGGTGACTTTGCCACCGGAATCTTCAGACGCAGGATCCTTTGGCAGTGGTGAAGCGATCGGCGGAAGTTGAATGGACCATAAACCTCACGCTACCTTTGGGGAAATCTGTCGAGCACTTGGTGGACACTCCAATCGAAATGATGAAGTACGCTCATAGGTCCGAACAACCTTGCGGATGTTCAATCAAATCCGCCACCGTAGAACGGAGGAGGCGGTTGTTCGCCGGCGGGATGTCGACGATTGGGGGTTTTTTGGCGGCGTAATTGGCGAGAGTAGTTAAATTTAAATAAATGCTGACGTGGTAAAAGAAAGCTGACGTGGTAAAACAAGGTTGACGTGTCTCCACTTTACTGCTAGTCAGTACTATATATATGAAACAATAGCAGATACAAAGTCACGCCACTTCCATTATCGTCTCTCTTCTTCGTCTTCCTCTGCTGCTTGCTTCAAGAATCAAGATCCTCTGATCTGTAAGTTTTTTTTTTTTTTTTCATTCTGTTGATAGACTTACGGGATTAGCCATTCATTTTGTTAGGAATCGATCGTTCGCTCGCTTGAACGCTTTCATTTACGAATAAAAGAAAACGAACTTTGTTTCTTCTTCGTCGTAATCTTCTAAACCTGGATCTAGATTCCCAGATTTTGTTGGTTATGCTTCCGTAGAACTCTTTCTCCGGAACTATTCTGTTGTTTCGGAATTTGATAGTTACTATTTCGTTTCCACTTTCGATTTTGCGTCTTAGTCAAGAAAAGAAATCTCCGCTCATGAAATTTCCTTCCTCTTTGTCTCAGGAAACACATTGGCCTCGAATCCTCTGATTGTTTGATCCGTAAGTTTTTCTTCTTTCGTATATACTTAGGGGATTAGATATTCACGTTATTGGAAATCGTTCGCTCCTACTAGGTCTTATCATTTACAAAGATTCTTCGTCGTCCTCTTCAACAATTGGATCTGGATTCCCAAATTGTGTTAGTTTGTGTAATCGCAGAACTCTGTTCTCAAAGAATGATTGTTACTATTTGGTTTCCACTTCTTACGTAAAAAAAAAGGATTCTTCATCAAAGAACAATAAATTTTCCTCTCTTTTTTTTCGCAGGCAACACAGTAGCCTCGAATCCTCCTGAAAGTCAAAAGCCTCCTTTCGGATTTATGGCGGAAGAGGTCTCTGCTTCTCTTTACTATCTCTGTTTCTCTGCATTGTACAATGTTTTTTACTTGCTCTGTTCTCTCTGTTTCTCCTCGTTTACTCTTGCTTTTACTTCTTCTTCTATCTTTTGTTTGTTCTGATCTGCAATGTCTCTTGATTTGGTCTTCATTCTGATTCATCCTTGTGTTTCTTGTTGGTAACTTGTTTTAGATAGGTTAAGCATTTTCCTGATCTTAGATCAGAATTAGGGTTTGGGTTTTAAGTTATTACCAATTGTTCTCTTATCTAAGTTATCGGTTCCAGATCTCATTTATATTCATTCACAAAAGAAGAAATGTTACGCAGTCGTAAAAGATGTCTCGCTTACTGTGTAAATATTATTTGATTCTCTAACGTTTAGCAAACAATGTCTAACTATGATTTTCTCTCTGTTTTTTCAGGATCCAAATATGGCTAAGGCTAATGATTGTTTACTTTTCAATCTTGAAGATTTTGTTTCTGGTTACATGGGACGTCCCAAGCATCTTCGAATTTACCATTTGCTGACCAACAACATGTTGGATGAGGATGACGAGATCAAAGCCTTGAAGATGCTCTTTGATGGGCTAAAGAAGACACTGGACAGGAGCTTCCTCTATGACGTGTCTATCCGAATCCGTGGCCGACTTGGAGATGAATATTCTGTGACACCCGAGATGCGACACAAGATGATGGAGGAGTACGATAAAGAATATGCCCGCAAAACTTCTTACTTGGAAGTTACGAAGGTATGTCATAGTCTATTAGTCTCACAATAGTTGTATGTAACACAAACTTATCTCATCTTATCATATTTTTGCTTTTGCAGCTGAATGTCTTTAATGAGAACTGGATTGCCAATAATCAAGGTCGGGAGTTTAATCAGGTGGTGCAAATAGAGAAGGAAAAGGCGGCACTCAGTCTAGGAATCTTCTTGTACGAAAATGGACAAGCACATGAAGCTTACGAAGTCCTTCAAACGATACCAGTCACCCTTAGACTTATGCTTGTGGCATTGGAGTGTGAACTCTTTGACGAGGTCATCCGCTTATCTCTTGAGCGACCCGATGATGATGTTGAGGGTGAGTACATTTTTAGGAGCGACGACTTCTTCGCTGACCTATGTCTTCGGGGGTTGGCATACATGTCAATAAAAGAATATAACAAGGCAGCATGTGTGGTAATTGGAAATTTTCTTTACTTTATTTTTATGTACACAAGTTATCATTGATTGACCATTTTCAGTGTTTTTTTTTGGCAGTTTTTGGAGATAATAAGACACTCTGAAAAGTGGAATTTGAGAAACTACAGGTTTATATTGATGAGCTGGGATGATATATACATGTTCTCCACGTGGCTTGTGACAGCAACCTTGAGCAATGAGGACATAGTAGGTAAGATAATATATAAAAAAGTCATTCACACATGTTAATTGAAACCCTTAATTGAAGTATATAATTGTATTGTAGGAGGTTGGTATACGTTTGCAAAGCACAGCTGTCAACTACCAGTACAGATTTTTCTTAGAATCGTACATTGCAAGGGAGTACTCAGTTTGCTTAGCCTTTTTGGAAGCACAAAAATTAACGTCTATCTTCATGATCACGTTGAGGAACTATTCAAGCTCATCAAAGAGAAGTGTAGCGTTGGAGGAAAGGAGGAAGAGTTTTGATTAAGATTTGCGAAATATCCAGATAGAGTTCCGGTGAGTTTGATCTCAGAAATTTCTGTTGATTCCTTGTTTTGTTTCGTTGTGATTTGGCGTGCGGTTGTGGATTTCCTAGGTTTCGAATGATTTAGTCCAGTTTTGTTTCTTGTGTTGCTCTAATTACTCGAATTTCTGGGATTTTGCGTTCAATTGGATGATGAAATTCGACTGATTTTGTGCGTTTTGGTGCTGATCTGATCACTCTGCTCAATGTTAGGGATTAGCTCATTTGTTCTTATTTTAAGAAAATGCCAGATTTAGGGATTTGGCGTGAAATCATAAAGGTTTCGTGAATATAAAGCAGATTATAATCAACCTTTTTTTTCTTGCCTGTTCTGTTTGCAATTAATATTCAAAATTAAACAAAATTGATAAGAACTATTCTGATCATCTACAATAATTAGTATATGGTTTAATGATTGAGTCAACCTTTATCTTTCTTAAATCTTAATCTAAGCCTTTTATATGAATCAATCAATAGTGTAGACATAAGCAAATTTGATAACTAGTTTTCTTCTTTCGCCTAATAGTTTTGTTAAATTTACATCAAAAACAATAACAAAAAACTAGCAAAAAACACTCTGGTTCCACAACCTAAAATGAAAATACCAAAAGAAGAAACTTGACAGTGTTGATTTAATGCAACCATTTTCCACCAAAAGTGGGTGAAAACCAACGAGCATCCTTGAAATTTATTGGCGAGGAAGCAGTAAGATGATCAAACCGTTGGACAACCCGGTTCTTTTTAACATGAGAGACGCAAATAATGTAATCGGAAATGGATAACCTAATCCCACTGTCTCTACAAAACCGATCACTAGTAAAATATATGCAATCTCTCATAACTCCATCTTTGGCTGCAACCGCTATTCCTTGATCCAAAAGCAATGCTTCCTCCCCTACAGAGTCGATAAATTTCCATGCATGTTTCCGTTTCGGATCCCGCCTGAAGAGATCGAAGAAGCACTTACCCTTTTTTTTCACGAAGCTTGCAATGAGCAATACTTCTCCAGACAAAGTCACAGCAATATTGTTGAGAAGGTCTTGACTACACCAAAGCGGAGGTGGGGTAATTTCACATTCTGTTGGAGAATCACCACCGAGGAAATCAAAAACCGTGACGCTTCGAGTGACAGTAAGCACGTAAAGCTTGCCTTGTTTAAACACCATATCGATGCAGCCTTGACCTTTCAAAGGTTTAAGCACTTTCCATCTTTCATTATTATCTCCTCTCTTATGATATGCAAAAATACTATTATAACTCCAAACAACAAAGTAATCTCTGCTTTCCTCATCCACCCCCAAAACCGCACTGCCTATTAATCTAACATCGCTGCTCTCACCGGAAGAAGAAGTCGCATCAAAATCATCGATTGATCCCATAGACGGAAGAGGAATCTTCTGACGAGTAAACAGATTAAAAAGATAGAAATCGGTTCTATGGAGTAACATGAGGAACCAGCTACCGGAACTAGCCAAACAACAACTCCTAGCGAAATCAATCCCGAGATCTCTTACCGTGTAACAAGTATGGTCACGAGGATCGAACAACTTACATGAAACGTTGTTGTTCTCAAGCTGTTCCTCCTTTGTAAAGAGGATGATCCACGGAGTTGTCGGATTTGTGACTCCGATGCATGATTTCGAAGCTATATACCATCCTGAGGAAACGCATCTTGCTCGATGAAAATCAACAAAGCTCAAGCGTTCCAAGATCGGTCTTATCAGGTCGGTGGATAGAATAGGCTGTTTTGAGTCGTTGCATGCCTTTTCGTTGGAATCAGCCACCATCTCCATCTCCATCTCCTTCGAAGTCATTACGATTTTCAATATTTTTAGGGTTTATGTTTATATATGACCTATTCAAAGCAGCCTATTCTTTGCACCGACCAGATCACCGGGTGGTTCGCGGTTTAACCGGTTGGACCGGATCAGTTCAAAATCTTATTTAGTCGATCGATTGTTTTATTTTTGACAAATTAAAGGGCCAAAAAATTGAAAACCTAAATGAGATCATGAGTTCTGAGATCGGTTGCTATTTAATTTCTAAAAATTTATTTATCGTTATGATTGGTTTATTTGGTTTTGTATATCAATCTAATGTCAAATGCTAAATGATTGGTTGGACAAGGATCTTTCTTGTTTTAATTTCTACATGCAGCCAAAAATGGAGTTATGACAAATTGCAAACAGAGCACCGACTCGCACAGTAAGGTAAGCCTAGGCAACTTGTATTTATCAGCAGCTCCTAGCAGTTTCGCAGCTAAAGTATCTGATGCTGATGGACCAACAGATGAGCCAGAAGACGATGATGTCTCTGCATCTTCAATGAGAGCATCTTTGTATATGTAATGTAGCAAAGCCTTAAACCAAAACAAAAATACTTAAAGACAGAAGTGTAAAAAAACAAGTTTTACCTTAGACAGAGGTTTTTCTCAAACAACCGTAGACAGAAGTTTGTATTTAGACTGATGTTGTCGATCACAAACTAACATTCATGGATTAATCACATTCAATTATAGCACTTTTTGAACTTTTTAATATATGTCGTGATTGTCTCGAATAAGGCTATGCAAGGTTTAAAGAGATGGAACCGTCAAAAAGCCAACCGTTGTTAACAAAAAATAAAACAAAAAATAAAACTAGCAAAAGAACTCTGGTTCCACAACCTAAAGAAAATACCAAAAGACAAACTTGTCACTGTAGATTTAATGCAGCCATTTTCCACCAAAAGTGGGGTAAAACCAACGAGCATCCTTGAACTTTATTGGCGAGGAAGTAAGACGATCAAACCGTTGGAAAACTTTGCGGGTTCCAATATGGTAGACGCAAATACCATTATCATCATTGCATAGACTAATCCCACAGTTTCTACATGCACTTGCATTCTAAGGGAATTAATGCTCGTTGGTTTTTACAAACTTTTGGTGGTAAATGTTCGCTTTAAAACTTATCCTGTTTTGTGTTTTGGTAAGGACTAAGGATTATATCTTTTACAAATTACTGTTTGGAGTCAAAAAGGGCATACAAACTTTTCTCTCTGCAAAACAAAAATTCTTTACCTGAGTTTATATTGATGTGATAAGTAGTGTTAATATAGTCACTCCAATTATTACACACAAAAACAAAAAAGGTAATACAACAACACTAAACCGTCTCCTAATGATCCTTGTCTCTGCTCTGTTCAGCCACGGCATTCCACCGTGGAAACACTTCCAAGTTATTACACGACGCAAGAAGACCAATCTCTGATCATACTTGAGCTCAATTTTGGCTTTTTATTACCACCTTATATTTGCTCAATCTTCGGCCATTGGGTCATCACTGTCATTATTATTATTGTTTCTTCCACTTCCATTAGCGTTCACCACTTGAACCCAAACACTCTGGCTTCTCTCTCCTCCTCCTCCTCCTCCTCCATTGACCTCTCCCCAAGTCTGTTGTTGCCTTCCGCTTCTCTCATTAGTCTCACCTCCACCGTCTGAGAACTGCCCCCACACGCTTCTCGTCTTCCCTCCTCCTCCGCTTAACTCCTCTTCGCATCCCGCTACTGTTTTCAGAAGCTCAGACTGTAGCGATGGACAGTGTTCCCTTAGATAGTCAAACCCATCTGACCTCATCACAGCTGCATCAACACAAAAGGGTTTGTACAAAAAACCTTGAGTTTGGTCTCATTGGTACAGAAACAACTTCAGTTATGAGACATAAGGTAAGATCATTATTCATTACCGATGAGATTCTCCGCTGCGAATTTCAGACAAACAGACTTCAAAGCTGAAGCATTGTATCGATCAGCGAGTGCTAATATATTAGCAACGGAGTCTACAGATATATCCTTGCAGAGGACCGACTCGCACATCAAACTAAGCCTAGGCAACTTGTATTTATCAGCAGCTCCTAACAGTTTCGCAGCTAAAGTATCTGACGCTGCTTGACCAACAGATGAGCCAGAAGACGATGACGTCTCTGCATCTTCAATGAGAGCATCTTTGTATATGTAATGTAACAACGCCTTAAACCCAAAACAAAAAAACATACATCAACAACAACAATTAACAAAGTAAGACAGAACTGTTAAAAAAAAAAAAAAGCTTTTACCTTGAAAACTTTAGGCTCCATGTCAGTAACTTCGATATCACGATCTTCTTCAACTCCATCAACTCCATCAAGAAACTCGCTTTCGAAAACAGGAGACCGAGCTGCTAACACCAACCTGTGAGCACGGAACTTTTCACCTGAGACGTTAAAAGTTATATCCGAACCGTCTTCGTTCTCCAGAAGCATCCCGAAGTGAGATCCGATATCAGACGCAGGGACGTGAATCGAATGCAAACGTGGACAATCTATCTCCGAGACCACAACCCCCACTGTGCAATTGATTTTCAAACAATCGTCCTTGAGAAAATCAGATGCTTCCAACATTGTTCTTCTAAAAAACCTTTTGTATCCCCTGAAATCAACACCCTCCAACATCAATTCACGATTTTTAATCTAAATTTATCAAACCCTAGAAACAGAGCTAAGAAGAGGAAAAGAAAAACAGAGACTTTGATTGAGGAAGACGAACGAACCACATGCTGCCGCGATACTTGAGGGTATAAGGACCGCTCTCGAGAGCACGATCGAAGTGGCTATGGACCTTATGCTTCCCTTTGCCGCTCTGATCAAGCAGCGAGAGCTCGAAGAGAGCTCTCACATCGGTGCCGTCGCTAGCCAAGGCGATGAATACGGAGACGTAAGCCGAATTGTCCTCCGGGTTTTTACCGTCTGGGTAGAAATAGATTGCCCACTGGTATCCGCCGACGGTGAATGTGTCGCTCGCGATGTGTTTCCCGATCCCGATTCCTTTGGCTAGCGAATACCCTTTGATTGTGAAGCTGTGCGATCCGTTTATTGTTTGTGTTACGGAGAGAGACGTCGTCGTCGGTGGCGACGGCATTTTTTTCGAAACTCCGGCGCCTTTCTCCTTCTTCTTCCTTTCGTCACGAGAAAAATTCTCAGACGGATTCTCTTGTGAGTTTTTCTATTTTTTTTCCTGGGAAAATGAGAGAGATAGAGATAGAGATAGAAAGAGAGAGAGAGAGAGAGTGAGACTTTTCAACGCCGCTTAACTGTTGTAACTTATGTAATAACAAAGTTAATTTAATACTAATGAATTTTGTAACTTGTAAATTAGCAGAACAAACCGAAATATTATGCAGCGCTAATGAAACCGAACCGGATTTTAGTTATTGAACCGGATTTGTTTTTTTTTTTTCGTTTTGTACCGAATTTATCTTTCGACTGAATAACAAACTGAAAATGCAGCAACAGTCGCCGCCATCGAAGAAGTCTCGGCTCGGAGACGGAGAGAGTCGATTCGTTATTCCGGCGAACAATCCGTTGCTCCGGTGTGCGGATTTGGTTTTCCCATGGCTAAACCCTCAGGGACTCGCCGCCGTCTCTCAAACCTGCAAAGCTTTATCACTGATTACCAGATCCCTCAGTCTCCGGCGATCTCTTGACGCTACACGGTGCCTCGAAAACTTCCCGGTGCCGTTCTGCAACGCCGTCGATTCCCAACGATACGTGTATTTCATCTACACGCCTTTTCAGATCCCAGCTTCCTCTCCTCCGCCGCCGCAGTGGTGGGGATCTGCTACTCGCGAATCCGACGGAGATGACGATGATTCAACCCCGAATTGGAAATCGGAGAACGTGGCGAGACCTTCTATTGACTCAGTGAGTGAGCGGGGACGATTTGGGGTGAGTCTAGTGAACGAGTCAGGAGAGAGAATGTTTGGATGCGATTGCCGGATATGCGAGGAAGGACACTGCCAGTGCTTTGCATTCGCGGGTACGGAGGAGATCGCCAACGAATGTGGGTCGGGTTGTGGCTGTGGATCCGATTGCCCGAACCGGGTGACCCAAAAGGGGATTTCAATTCGTCTGAAGATCGTAAGAAACGAGAAGAAAGGTTGGTGCTTGCACGCTGATCAGCTCATCAAGCAAGGCCAATTCATCTGCGAATACGCCGGTAAAACATTTCCCCCAAATTTTTGAACAACGACTTTCGATTTCTGATCGTTTTGCTTCGAAAAGGTGGTTGATTTTGGATGATTTGTCTTGGAAGTTGAAAATCAAGCTCAAGATTAGACGAAAGATTTGACCTTTTGATGTATCACTTGAGCCTTTAGATTGGTTTGTATGCAAAAGTTTGAATCTTGTTTTGGTTTCCTCTTTGTTATAGGCGAGCTATTGACGACAGATGAAGCACGTAGGCGTCAAAGTATCTACGATAAGCTTAGATCAACACAATCCTCCTTCGCTTCAGCTCTTCTGGTCATACGAGAACACCTTCCTTCAGGACAAGCTTGCTTGAGAATAAACATCGACGCCACGAGAATCGGGAACGTTGCTAGATTCATCAACCATTCTTGTGACGGTGGAAATCTCTCCACGGTTCTGTTGAGAAGCTCGGGAGCTTTGCTTCCTCGGCTCTGTTTCTTTGCTGCGAGGGATATAATGGCAGAGGAGGAGTTGTGTTTTAGTTATGGAGATGTTCGTGTCACTGAGAAGAACAGAGACGGCAAGTTAAATTGCTGTTGTGGTAGTTCCTGCTGTTTTGGAACGTTGCCTTGTGAGAACACCTGAATTTCACCATCACATTCATGATTTTCCCCATTGCAAACTTCGTTTAGACACATGTTATGAATCTTTCGATCTTGTCTGCACTAATGGTTTTGTAAAATATGCCTACTTTCTTTTTACCCGTTTTTCTGTCATAGAGAACAAAAAAAAAGAGCAAATCATCTATGAACAAGGCAAATATAAAAATTGGTATGGTATGTAGTATAAGTTAATTATTGTGGGTAGTATTAATGCTTGTGATGATCAACAATGAAGAACCATAAATCCTTTTGACGCATTTCAATTATTCTTAAGAATAAAGAGATAATAGTATATTTTTACTTGAGCTTCTTGAGTCCTCGTGCGTTTTACGACTTCCCAGTTTCCCAGTTTGATTTGACTTGAGGATACGAATATATGAACGTTGTAAAACGGTAACATTTTTCGACCGTTTGAAATTTTATTTATTTTATATTAGAAGACCAATTATTATGTTCTATAAGTTCTCCGTTCTTGGACCAGGATTTTGAATCCTCCTCAATCCGTTTATTTTTTACATCCAAATGTCAAAAAAAGTTTTTTTTACTCTCTTAATTATGTTCCTCAACTTAAGCTTTAACTCACACTTATCTCTGGTTCTCATTACGAGAGAGAAACAAACACAAAGTCATCTTTTTATCTCAAACTTATCTCTGGTTTCTCTAGCATTATAAGGTTCTTTCAAACATTTGTTATATGGAGTTCCTCAACTTGAGCTTTAACTCGATCTTATCTCTGCTTCCCATTAAGCGAGAGAAACAAACACAGCCATCTTCTGATAGGATAACACTCCTTGTTTTTTTTTTTGGGAAACACACATGGTAACACCCTCTGGTCTAAATTCAGTAGTTTCTCTAGAATTATAAGGTTCTTTCATACATATGTTATATGGAGTTATTACATAAACAATTCAAATGTTCTGTTTAAATCCTTTTTCTTCTTTTTTTTAGTATCTTGCTGTCTTGATTACAAAAACTGTATATATCTAAACAAAAACTGTAAATGAATAAAATCGTATAAGAATACTAGATTCCCTTCGCCCTTAATCATACGACTTAACCCTAAACTTTAACATCTAACCCTAAGAGACCAAATGCCTACGATGTAACCCTAGCGCTAAACCCTCGTTCGCCCTAAACCCTCGTCCACCCTAACCCTCATTCGCCCTAAATCCTCATCCGCCCTAAACCCTTGTCCGCCCTAAACCCTTATCCGCCCTAACCCTCATCCGCCCTAAACCCTGATCTGCTCTAAACCCTGATCTGCTCTAAACCCTAAATGGTGTGTCATATTATAACTCTATTTTGCCTTAGTCCTAATGTGCATCCTAATTGGGCCTAATCGTTTTTCCCTTACTCGTAATCAGCTTTACTTTACTTCGTCTAATTCCTAACCCGCCTTATTTATAATAATCCTCGTTTGTAAACTTTGTATTGCTTTAGACGGAACACCTCCCTTCAGGACGAGCTTGCTTTAATAAGAATAAACATCGACTCCACAAGAATTGGGAACATTGCTACATTCATCAATCATTCTTGTAACTGGAAATCTCTCCACTATTTTACTGAGAAGCTCAGGAGGCAATGTTTCTCTGCAGCAATGGATATAATTGCAGAGGAGTTTTGTTTCAGTTACAAAGATGTATGTATGACAGGGAAGAAGAGAGACAGCAAGTTAAATGGCTGTTGCGGTAGTTCCTACCGTCTTGGAACGTTGCCTTGTGAGAACACCTGAATTTCACCATCACCTTGTATCTCTCTCTACCTCTACTAATGTCAAAAAGTTTTCTTACTTTTTACAAGAATCGTGTTTATGTTTCTAGCAAGATACAACCAACCACTTTGTCATTCCAAAGTTATAAATTTGTTTTTTTACTAATATCGGTTTTATCATATACAATGATCAAATTTAACTACTACAGCACTATTCAACTTTAAATTTAGAAGGTATATAAGATACCTTAAATTTCAGAGAAGTTATATAAATAAATCTTACAAAGTAAGGAAAAGGAAAGAGAAGAATGTTGTGAAGAAAAGGAGCACGACAGACATGAAGGTTGGTTAGCTTCCAAAGAACTCCACACGAAACGGTCAACACGATTCTTGTGCCTCTCCTCCCTCAGACACACACCCCCCACATACTTATATATGTATCCATACAACTGTTATACTTAGATTGTACAACTATACAATTTGTTATTAATCATTGTACGTACACTTGTTAACTTTTTCTGATAATAAAATTATATTTTAATTTGGTTTGAAAACTAATATTATCTTTCAATTTGGTTTGTAGATTAATATTATCTTTTTGTAAATAAAATCATGTCCACACATGCATATGCAACACTAGTTTTTGAGTTGCAGCTTCCATTAGTTATAGTCCTCTAACAATATAGTGATTTTTGTTTACTTTAACCATGAAAAATTAAGCACGATATCAACCCGCATTACCTTTTGATGACTATGTTTTGTGTGCTGATACATATTTTAATTAAGATTTATATATACTCGCGGAATGAACTATAGATGAAGTAATTTATGTATATCCCAGGTGAATCATTGTAATGGCATATCAACATTTTCCTAAACTTCTCTTCAAATAGATGTATGATTGATTTTTCAAAAATGATATCGTGTACTTCATGTATTTTCAATGAAATAGAAGTTTATTTCTCTACTCTTTTCTTACCAGTTGAGAGTATACTTGTGTGTTATATTATAAATTATAATCACTCAATTTAACCTACCCTAACAATTCTAATAATTAACTTATTTAATATACGCCCCAGGCCCCAGCCATCTCATTTCAGCAACTTCCAAAAGTTTTCCCCTTTCGGAAATGTTCGTAAGTGTTAGTCTTTCGTAAGCATAAGTACTCTAGATATTATGGTTATAAATTTTGCTATGCTTCAGACATTTATATTTTTAGTTAATATGGCCTAACCATTTACTAATATTCACAATTCAAAACCTAAAGACGAAATAATAAAGTAATCTATACACAAACGTACACTCTCTTTGCACGTGCACCTTTACATCACACCTTCTTCCAATTTGTATTCTCTTTCTTGCGCTACACCTAACAATACCAACCATACTGTCTCTACGTACATATTTTGATATATAACAGCTAGAAAACTACCTTACGTTGGTTTACGGTATATGTTATTTGTGTAACCAATCGATAGATTGATAAATCATTTTAATTTTTTGAGTATAAGCAATAATTACTTCATTCACAACATTTAACTAGTCAACAATGAATTACACGTTTTCTTGAATTTGACTATTTTACACGTAATAAGCTTTCGTTATGAATGTGGTCTAGTAAAAAAGAATTCGAATTATAGAAAATATTTAACCGGTGATATGGCAATATGTAGCCAATTGTATTATGTTGGTATTATTTCATTTTAAAAGAAAGAAAATAACAAAAAGGGAAAATAAAAATAAAAGATTACCACATTCACCTCGCGACCTCCTTCATGAAACAAACGTGGCCTCATCCGTTTTTTCTTTTACTTATATACTCACATTCATTCACACATGTTACACTCATACAGATTTAACATTATACATATATATAGATTTCATTTGTTTCAACTTATAAACCTAGCCAACTAATTAATGTTTGTTTGGTGATATGGCTGATCAGCAGCGAGGCCACAACACCTCAGATTCTCGCCGGAAATCAGCAGCCGGAAAACGAACCTCACAACAAACTCCGACGTCATCACTTTCTTCTGGAGGAGGAGTTATGGCGGCGGCTGCAACGACGGGGACAGGAACGGCCTCGCCTTGTGGGGCTTGCAAGTTCTTGAGAAGGAAGTGTGTGAGTGGATGCATTTTCGCTCCACATTTCGGGTCCGACCAAGGAGCCGCTAGGTTCGCGGCGGTCCATAAGGTTTTTGGGGCCAGCAACGTGTCCAAACTGTTGCATCATATTCCGGTGAACCGTCGCCATGACGCGGTAGTTACAATCTCATATGAGGCTCAGGCTAGGCTCTCTGATCCTGTCTATGGCTGCGTCTCTACCATCCTTGCTCTCCAACAACAGGTGAATTACATATTTACATATACCTGAAAAAATGTCTAATATTTGATTAGCTTGTATTAATCACATAATAAAGCTAATTAAATATATATTTTTTTTGTTCACAATAAAAACTCTATATTTATATGTTCGTATATTGTTCGTAAAGTTTGTAACGGTTAATGAACGAGTGGCACAACTGGAAGTTTGAGATAAACAAAATTTAAAAGTATCAATAAAGATGGCATAGATCATGTGATATTTACAGTTTCAAAACTAAAAGGTATGAAGTAAAATATTTTAAACTTTCATTACATTTTTACTCAAAGAAGTATAATTATTTAAAGAAAATAAATTACCACTCAAATTCAATAATAATTTGTTGGATGCAAACTTGTAATAAATTTGATTTTCTCTTCATCTTTGTATTTTTCATTGTCAAGTACAAAGTTCTTAAATTACTTTGAAAATGTATCAAAGAATAAACAATAGTGGATGATCATATATTAAATAAAATTAATTTGTTAACCACAATTATATTAGGTGGCCTCGCTACAGGCGGAGTTATCGGTGGTGCAATCACAACTAATAAACAGTAGAGTCGCAATGGCCAACGTGATGCAACAACAACAACAACAACAAAGTCATCACCAACAACAGCAACAACAACAACAACTAGTCGTTATGCAACAACCCGAATACTCCAACAACTCCTCTGCCTCCACTACTCTGGCCGGAGCCACCATGAACAGCTTTGCCGCTGCGGCGGAGGTAGCAGCCGCCAACTACGACGTCATGGCTTCGGCTAACTTAGACCATTCGTTGCAACCAATCCCACCGCATCAGCAAGGTAGAGGAGACCAGCATGAGGATGGGGAAGAGAGTGGTGCTGATTTTTCGGTGGCTGTTGGTTCGACGGTGGTGGCTTCAGAGGTTATATTTCCGGAGGA